GCAGGGAGCCCGATGCGGGACTCGATCCCAGGACTCCAGGATCATGACCTGAGCCGAAGGCAGTCGCTTAACCAACTGAACCACCCAGGCGCCCCCCAATCTTTTGGTTATTATTCTCCATCTCCCCCAAGAAAAAGAGGGAGGATAGGAAGAAAATGAGAGGGAAAAGACCATGCTCTTATATCTCTCATGCCCATGATTATGCAGACTTTGGAGTCTGACTGACCTGGGTTTGAATTTTGACCCTGTCATTTATTTGCTGTCTGGCCTTGAATGTTAAGTCTATGAATTTTAGGTTTTTCATCTTTCAAATGGGAATAATAATCCTTAGCACCAATGAGGGTGAGCAGAGAGAACACTTGGATGGCATTTAGCACAGTGCCTAGAAAACAGCAAAGGAAGTAGTAGCTGTGATCATTAATTATTCACCCTTGAACACCCAGCTTCAGTTCCTTTGCGAAGACTTCTTGACAAAAATGCATACACATACACTCACACACACAGACACACACACACACACTCTCAGAGTCTTTGTAGCTCCAGTACATCTTGTATGCATCCATGAGATTTTAGTCATTACATTATGTTGCAATTGCTTATTTATATAATCTGTATAGATTTTCTTAAGGAAAGAGGCCAGGCTTGTGTGTCCTCAATGCCCGTCACATAGCTGATGTATCATATATATTTATGAATGAATGAATGAATCAAGCCACTGCATTTACCTAGTAATGAGATAAGAAGCTTAATTAGGATGGCAAAAATGGAAAGGACAAGACACATAAGGAAGTTGATAACAATCGTTGACTAGGGGATACAAGCAGTAAAGGAATAAAATAATAAAATGAATGCTCTGCAGTGTTTTCTAATGATAGCCAATCACAGATATAGTTCATCCAGGAAGCCCTTCTTTGAGAATTTTCTTGGGAGGAGAGGGGTGGGGAGAATGTTTATACATATACTTATAAAATACTTGGTTGTTTAAGTCTACCTAGTCCTCTGAAACCAGCCCATCTAGGAAAGGAGTGCTCTTGGACATTACTCAAAGGCAAGGTAAGGTTGCCAAATGAACCTGAGTTAAATCAAGAATCCTTACCTTTCTCTTCCAAATCTTAAGAATTCTACATCTTTACTGTTACCACTAATCTATCTCCCTTGCTCTCTTCTGCAGACTCTGCCCTTTTGGAAGCCCTCTACTTATTCCCCTGAAACTTTCTCTTTGGTGCCATCCCTGCCTAATCTCTGAATGATGTCCACCAAATACACATTGGCTTCACTGCCATAGCCACCTCCCTACCACCATCCCACTCTTCACCCTGTCTCTAGAGTCTAGGCCTGCGCAATCTGCTCAGCTAGAAAAAGCCTTAAGCATTTTCACCATTGCAAGAGATAACCAAAGAAAGAAAATCAAAGTAAATCAGCTAAAAAAAACAGATAAGAGGGTTTTCTTGACTGTGTAGGCATAGGAAAGCCTCCCTCCTGCCTCTGTAAGCAAGGGTTTCAGTAAATGGACAAGTCATCTAAAAAGTCTGCAATACATCCATACCTACACCCTGAGAAATCCTGTCCAACAATAAATATGGTGACATAATGCTACATGCTTAACTCCAATCCCCAAGCCATCCTTCACAGCCATGGGGGTTAATCACTGGAAAAGTAGGCCCGCTGAGCAAGCCATCGACTTTTATCTTTAGACTTCGACTGCTATTCATCAGCATCAATATTTTAGAGCTTAATCAGCTCAGTGCTAGTCTTAGTCCAGGACATCTACATCATCATGAGGACTCACCGCATCCTGACAGCTGAGGACCTCCAAAATGCTGTTGAGTAGTTCGACACAGTACTTCTTCTCCTGGACCTGGTGTTGCATCTCATCCTTTTGCTCCAGCAGCTCCTTCAGTTCTTTGGTGATGACAGGAAGAAGAATGTCCCGGCATTCTGGAAGGAAGGCAGTTCAGAGGCATTTGAGCATCCTCATTCTGTAGTTCCATTCCTTTCCTTCCTTCTTTCCTTCCTTCCTTCCTTCCTTCTTTCCTTCCTTCCTTCCTTCCTTCCTTCCTCCCTTTCTCTCTTTCTCTCTTTCTTTCTTTCCTTCCTTCCATCCTTCCTTCCTTCCTTCTAGATAATTTTTCTTTAAATAAATAATTCATGAATATATTCTCCTTGTAAGAAAATTTAAATGTTAAAGATTAGGTGAAGATTTCCTTAGAACATCATTCACAATTCCAGTCCCTCCCCCAACACTCGATCCCCAGAGGAAACCAGTTCTTTTATTCCATACATATGTGTGTAAAAGGACTGTATATGCATATATATACATACATATACAATTTCTGTACGTGTATGCATATAAAAATGTACCAGTATAAAATATGTAGTATCATTTTGATTTGGCCTCCACTTAAGTAAGATATATTATACTGTGATGATAAAACTTTGTGATCTTTTTATAATTTCACATATGTATCAGTATAAAACATACATGTCATTTTGTTTTTGTGTCTTTTTCATAAAATGGGATTCTGCTGTATCTTGTTTTGTACCTTGATTTTTATTCACTTACCTATTGGAACATTCACCTTCCTGGAGCACTTTCTATGGTATTACAAATAGGGATCAACTTAATTATATGTAGCTGTTGTATAGTATTCTCTATTATGGATATATTTTTTTTATTTAGTCATAGCCCTAGTGATGAACATTTTTCACTGGCACAAACAGTACAAAAGTGAACAACCTTTCGCTTGTATCCTTGTGCACAATGGTTTTCATTTTAAATAAATTAAAATGTTCACAAAAAAGGGTATCTCTCTTAGCATTGCTGTCTCAGGAAATTTCTAGAAAGTTCTGAAATCCTACACAGCTTTGTTTCTGTATTTCTCTTAAAAATGGCAAAACTTCCAAGGACCAAAAAATATTCCCCCAATTTTTCAAGCTACCTCCACCCATCCACTCAGCTTCTGGAGCTAAGATGTAAATCCTATACACCAAGATTTCATTTTAATTCAATATAACAAACAGGTATTGAATATCTTTGATGAGGAAGGCACTCTCTTTCCAGAAGTATAGCAGTAAGAGAAGGTTCTCACCCATTAGACACGTAAAATCTTGACAGTGATGATTAGCAGCAAAAACAAAGAACAATGGCAGAACATAGAATAAGATAAAGGTGGGATGAAGAAGAAAACATCTCTTGTTCTGTCACCCCAATATCTATTCCTTCTTCCGGCACAGCACCCTGGTTTCACTCTGGGGAGGCACCCTGCTGTGGAATATAATCCTAGGAATACTCTCATGAGGCTGCTTGCCCTTCTCTGGACAAGGGCTGGACATCTAATCCTAATTAGGATGACCCCCTGAAATCTGAATCTTGAGGGAACTTTAATAACAACAATTGCTGCCATTGCTAACATACTGAATGCTTACAAGGTGCCAGGCACTGCTTTAAGTGTCTTGCATGGATTACCTCATTCAATCTTTCCAATGACTTTGGGAGATAGATACCACTATTTCCCCATTTCACTGATGAGGAAACAGAAGGACGTACCCAAGTGTACATAGCTAGTATGTGGTAGATTCCAGTCTGACTGCAGAGCCTGTGCTCTTAACCAGAATGCTCTTAGATGAAGAATATAATCTTTCTTGGAGCTCAGCTGTCGGTAGGAAGTGCCCTGAAGAGGCTGCCCATGGTTGCTTGCTGCTTCTTCTCCCACTGCTATTCTGGGTCTCTCCTCTCCGATGACTGGTTCCCCAGGTTTCCTCTGATTCTATGAACTACTCCCCATCTTCCAAATACATTATTTTTACTTAAATTTAGCAGAGTAGGTTTCTGTTGCTCACAACCAAAGAATCCCAACTGGTAGAGTCATAAAATACCATGTGGGCTTCAGATGGGAGAAATGATCTCTGGTTAGAAGATTCATGTAAGACTTTATAGGCTCTGATAGAATTGTGTCCCTTCTCTCAGAGCACCAATGTAAGTTTGTAATTAAATTCTAATTAGTATAATTAATTAATGTCCCTTCATCCAACCAAAGTGTAAGCTCCATGAGAGCCAGACTAAATCTCAAGTGCCTAACATAGTACCTGTATCATAGTAGTAACTCAGTAAATCTTGGTTGAATGAATGGAAGATAAATTATTTGAGATGATCATTGATGAGTAAATGGCACTGACATAGGAAGAGTGGGGATTTAGGATACATAGGTCTGTGTAAGCAGAATAGGCTTTTGGAAGTAGAATAATGGAAGATAATTTTTAAAAGGAAAGTTCTTCAATTTAGTGGGAGGTGAAGGTTATAGCTCTATGGAAACAAAGTTATAGGCAACCAAAATTTTGATTCAGCTTTGCTTAAAATTAAGGTGAAATCATAGGCCACAGGTTTAATAATATTTAACTTGGACTCAAGAAATTATTGGCTGAGGACTTTGAGTACAACGAAATGTACTGGGTGAGCCATTATTTTTCCCTTAGAGAGACAAGGGAAAAGACAGGATAATATTTACATACCAGTTACCATAACATTTAAGTTAAATCTATACCTGGTCCATAGCTTATGACTATAGTTTGAATTTTTGCTCAGATCTATTTATTAAAAGGAGTAAAGAAAGTTGATGCAATGTTCATTCAGAAGTTTGTTTGAAAGGTTATCTTCTGGTTTCACTTATTTGTGGAACATAAGGAATAGCATGGAGGACATTAGGAGAAGGAAGGGAAAAATGAGGGGGGGGAATTGGAGGGAGAGATGAACCATGAGAGACTATGGACTCTGAGAAACAAACAGGGTTTTAGAGGGGAGGGGGGGGGGGGGATTGGTTAGCCCGGTGATGGGTATTAAGGAGGGCGCGCACTGCATGGAGCACTAGTTGTTATACGAAAACAATGGATCGTGGATCACCACATCAAAAACTAATGATGTATTGTATGGTGACTAACATAACATAATAAAATTTAACAAATAAATAAATAAAAGGATGCTAATAAAAATTAAAAAAAAGAAAGGTTATCTTCTAAAGGATGTTGACAAATAACTTGGGAAATTTTTGTTTGTTAGAGGAAATGATATGTGTTAGCAAGCTCAATGTTGAAAAACAAGGTGAGTTCATTTGAAGTTGTAAACTCATTAGATGAATGGCTTCCTCAACTTGCTTAAACTTAACTTCCCAACTCTGCCTTCACCGAGGTTGTCACAAGTAAAACCAGCCAGAAGCTAAGAATTCTGCATTCTCTCACTAAGTTAGATAAGGATTGTAAAGTCTTCCTCTTTGAGAAGTTAATTTTGCAAGTAAAATAAAAGATCTAATAAAGGAAATTTTTTAAAAAAAATTTTTTTAAAGATTTTATTTATTTGAGAGAGAGAGAGAGAGAGCATGAGCAGGGTGAAGGGCAGAGGGAGAAGCAGGTTTCCCACTGAGCAGGGAGTCCGATGCGGGGCTCGATCCCAGGACTCCAGGATCATGATCTGAGCCGAAGACAGACACTTAATCGACTGAGCCACCCAGGCACCCCTAATAAAGGAAATTTAAAACACAACAAAAAGTCTTGTTCTCCCACAGGTCTCTGGGCAAAAGGGAGTCCTCAAAAGATGTGTTTTAAGGAGATTCGTGTCCCTGCAGCATAGAGGGTAGCTGGAGGAAGAAAAGAGGGCAGAGACCCTGCAAAGGGCAGAGACCAGTGAATATGCCACTACCGTAGTCCAGGTGATGATAAATGAGAATATAAGCGCTGGGTTCTACCCCTCTAGAGTCCCAGCCTCCAATGCAACATTTTTGTCTTTTGTTGAAGCTAAAGATTTAATAGGACTGTAAAGGAAGCTGGTAAGAAATAGATCAAGAACAGTCAATTGTCTTGAGTTTACAGCATAAGAAGACAATGTCTTAAAGTCTAAAATAGCCTGTTTTGACTCAAGATTAAAAATCATTTAAAACTATAAAATGGGATCACTAGGACCTAGAGTGATATGTAAAGAGATATGTAAAGCCAGATAAGGGGTTAATCCATTCAGGTAGTTAATTAACTCATTCATTCATTTAGTCAGTCTACTATATTCATTGAAGGTTCCCTAAGGGGCAATCACTATTCTGTGGTGGGAGGTAATGGTCAGGGGTTACCAGCCCATCCCAACAACAGAGCCAACAGAAGTTAAGAGGCAGATGTAAATAGACAAGAAAAAACCTGGTGCTTTTACCTCTTGGGAGTGACAACCTACGAGGAGTGTTCATACAACAGAGCTGTGTAGTAACAAAGGTCAAGTTTTTCCTTAAAGGTTCATTCTGCTGGTGTTCTGTTGAGATCCTCAGTTAGATCCCATTACAAAGATATATGAATCCAAGGCAAAAGGCTACTTGGGAGATTTTAGATATTAATGAAGATCTCCTTGGGAAGTCACCAGACACTTTAAATTCTACTTCAAATAGAGTTCAAATAGTAGATCCTCAGGGAGAGGTCTGGTTTTGAGCTCTCCATCCCTATCAAGTATTTAAGTAGTAGGTAAGTTGCCTATGGATAGGGATGATGAGAAGGTATTCAAAGACTCAGAAGGGGTGAAATAAATGGTTGTTAAGTCCCCATCCAAAAGTCTACGATTCCCACAAAATACAGCTTCAGAGGAAGTGGCAGGAGGTAGGGTTTATTTGCTAGGTGGAAAGACAGTGGATGGGTTTGCATTATTTACAAACCACTGATGTTGTGGGAGCTGCAGCCCAGGCCCCAGCAAAAGCAGTGGTTTATCAATCTGAAAGTCCTCTACTTCACAGATTATCAAAACCAAGCATCCCCACAAGACAAAGCCTCCTGGTGCTGAGAGTCAGCAAAATTTTAGCTGAGGGGGCCAATAATAACGTGGCCTGTTTTTCAGAAAGTACTTTATTTTCTCATTAACTATGATTTCTCAGAAATGTCTGGCTCCTCTGTTTTGAGATGAAATAATTTTTCTCATT